CCCCTGCATGGATATGATTTTAAGGAAGGACTGAACAGGGCGCACCATTCCCTTCCTCCTCTTCTCCACAGATAGGCTTCTCCTAAACTCTAAGGGACCCCACAAGACTTGCAACCAGGGGAGCAACTAGCAGCAGCTCATCCCAGGCTAACCCCCTGCACCTGTCTCAGCCCCCTTTTCTCTGCCTTCCCAGTGAGCCTTGCAAAAGTGCCCCCTCCAGCCCTTCCTTGTTTCACTGTCCTGAGGGTGCTTTTGCTGCGGTCAATAAATTCTTGCTTGCTTTGCTGCACACACGCACACACACAAAAAGACCAAAGGGGAAAAAATGGTACAAAACAAGCCTTCCTCTCGCAGCCACCTCCCTAGGGACAGCCACCGCCGTCACTGGTGCCTCCACCAGCAAAGCATCCCTCTTTATGCAAGACCACACCGTGCCCACACAGTTCTGCACCCGCTTTCTAGTTAACCACGACTCTTCTTTCTACTTAACCACAACTCAGCTGTCCGTAACAGAACACTCATTTTGTTCATTTCAACATGAAACTGCTAATAAGGTCGTATGCCTCTAAAACCTAAAGTTTATAGCAAGGTGAAGTCGCCCACCCACCTCCCTGTCTTTCCTGCCCCCTCTCCTAAAAAGAAACAACTTTTTATAAAGGCTTTGTTTCCTTCTGTATGTCTCTATGCAAATAAAGGCAAATGTGAATTCTTTTGTCTCCCTTCTCACTGATCTGCACCTGGCTGTTTTGTGTGGTTTTTTTTTTTTTTCAAACCAACTTTATTTAGGTGTAATTGACACATTTAAAAGCATACAGTTCCAGTCAGGCTGGTGTGGCTCAGTGGTTGAGCATCCGCCCAAGAAATAAAGAGGTTATCGGTTTCCGAGTCAGGGCACATGCCTGGGTTTGGGGCTCGATCCCCAGTAGGGGGCCTGCAGGAGGCAGGATCTCATCGATATTTCTGTCTCTCTATCCCTCTCCCTTCCTCTCTCCAAAAAAAAATAAATTAAAGCATACAATACCGTAAACACCTACCACAATTTAGATACAGGAATAAGCATGTCCCACATCCCAAAGGTTTTCTCTGCACTTTCCTGTCCCTGCCTGTTACACCTGGAGATCTGCCAATCTGCTCTCCGTGGCTTCCGGCTCTTTCTGCGGCTCCGGAGGCCCCACTGTGTGCCTGATCCACTGCCTATCTGACCAGCCATCTCCTAAGCTAAGGGTTGCCAGGATCACATCCAATTGCTCTCCTCGAACAACGCTGCAACCAATGACCCTGCCCCTGTTTCCTGCATGAGCAGGAATGTTTGTAGAATAAACAAGACACATTCCGAAGAGCAGGACTGCTGTTCTTTTTTTTGTTTGTTCTTTTCCTTTTTCTGCTGCTGTTCCTTTTAACAGGCATGGAGCTTCCACCTAGGTCACCAGTTCCTTGCTGGGGCCCCGGTGAAATCTCCAATCTTTTCCTTTTACCAACCTAGCTGTGGAACTGTATGCATTCCTGGGCCCAGGCTTTTGTGCATCTGTGCAAATACGTATGTTAAAAAAAAGCCCAGAAGTGGAATTGTTTAAGGGCCTGTTTCTTTTTCTTTTTAGAGAGGATTTAAAAAACATTTTTGATTGATTGATTGGTTTTAGGAAGAGGGAGAGAGAGTGGGAGGGGAGGAAGGAGAGAGAGAGGGAGAGAGAAACATCAATTTGTTGTTCCAGTCATCTATGCAGTCGCTGGTTGCTTCTTGCATGCCCTGCCCTGAGATCGAACCCCCAACACTGGTGTATTAGGACGACACTAGCCATTGAGCTACCCGGCAGGGCTCAGGCCTGTCTCTTATGGTGAATGCCGAACGCTGAAGGCTGCAGAGAAGCCCAGTTCCGCTTTGGGGAGAGTTGAGTAACAGCCACCCAGAGACAGCCGGAGCCATCCAGCTCCAGGCCAGTCACCGAAACCTCTTTGGTCCGCCCTCAACTGCCGCTTCAGCTGCTACAGGGCAGGGACGCCAACAGCCTCCAGTGGTTCTCAACCTTCTGGCCCTTTAAATACAGCTCCTCATGTTGTGACCCAACCATAAAATTATTTTCATTTCTACTTCATAACTGTAACGTTGCTACTGTTATGAATCGTAATGTAAATATCTGATATGCAGGATGGTCTTAGGCGACCCCTGTGAAAGGGTCGTTCGACCGCCAAAGGGGTCGCGACCCACAGGTTGAGAACCGCTGGCCCTAGACAAAAGGTAACAGGTCACTGCTGGGAGAGGACCCCGGGGAAGGGGCACCTTCCATGGGCTACTGAAGAGTTGTCCATAGCGTTGAATTTGTTACAGATACACGTGTTACTGCTAAAATTGAGCAAAGCGACCTTACCCAAAGACCAGCCCTAAGTACTTTCCAACTGGGTTTACCCAGCTGGCATTATTACCAGCCAAGCTTTATGCCAAAAAAAAAAAAATCACTTCTAATCCTGACCCGCGAGGGAAGGGCCATAATCAACCTTGCTTCTCAGAGGACGATACAGAAACTGAACGGATTACATGCCAAGGTCATGCCTAGGAGTTGGCAGACTCTCAATCTTAACCGCGACAGTCCGGGCAGCTCACAGCCACCCTGCCTCTTCCACTGAC